TTGGATTCAGAATAGCCTGAAAGCCTGGATATAGTGGTGTTTTGCCACTAGTTCTAAGAATGAGAAGTTTCTGCATCAGAACTTCAGGGGCTTGTTGCCCTGGATAGTTTACAGTTAAGTAGCCCACGTTGGCCGAGCTTTTTGTTGAATGCAGAATTAAGACATTTGAGTTTGTCACATTCACATATATTATGTTAAAGCCAGTAGAATCATGCCATTTCCAACAGTGACAGTCGTCATGTTCTCAGACTTAAAAGATGATATGCCTGTAGTAAGGATAGCTGTTACTGTTGCCCTTGTACTTGGTGGAATGGTGTTAGGGGAAGTAACTGACTGAAGCTGCCCACGCTGGCCAGGCGCCAGAGTAACCATTTGCACGAGTTGTTTTATGACAGGAGGTCGTGGTAAGGAACATGGAACTAATAAGCCACCTTCAACCGGAAGAGTTCAGGAAAGGTCAGAAGGAGACACCACATGTTCGACCTCCTCCCAGACTCCTCCTCTCTGGCATCCATCTTGGCTGAACAAGGCGTGCACCACAGGAAGGACTCTGAGTCAGAATGATTGGCTAAAGACAACCTGGAAACTGATCCCATCACCATAAAACCCGAGACTTTGAGCTTTTGGCAGAGCAGTTCTCCTGGTTTCCCTTACCTACTGGTCTCCACCCGGGTGCCCTTTCCCAATAAAATCTCTTGCTTTGTCAGCTCATGTGTCTCCTCGGACAATACATTTCCGAGTGTTAGACAAGAGCCCAGTTTCGGGCCCTGGAAGGGTCCACCTTCCTGCAACAAAGGTTGTAACCTTTGTTATAGGTTGCAACCTCTTGATTATCCCTAATTTTTTGCAATTTTAAAGACGATCTTAAGTCCTTTCAGTGTCCTTAGTTGTTCTGACCTTCTTTACGTGAACTTCTGACCTTTGTTTTCAGGTAGTATAGTGTTAATTGTTAAGAGCACAGACTCAGGGAAAAAGGAAAAAGAGCACAGACTCACGGCAGACTGTTGTTGATTTGAATTCTGGCTCTGCCACATACTAACTCTTGAGGTCCCGGGCAAGTTACCTACCCTCTTTATACCTCAGCTTCTGAATTGGAAAATGGGGATAACCAAGTATCCTGTATCATCGGATTCTTGAGAGGATTAAAGAAATTTATGTAAAGAGCTTAAGAAAGTGCTTGGCCTTTAAGAGTATAAAGTATACTGTATTGGTGTTTATCTTTCTGGCTTACTTCACTCTGTATAATGGGCTCCAGTTTGATTCATCTCATTAGAACTAGAAAGATGGTAACGATAACCCTATATGCAAGACAGAAGAAGAGACACAGATGTATAGAACAGACTTTTGGACTCTATGGGAGAAGGTGAGGGTGGGATGATCTGAGAGAACAGCATCGAAACATATATATTATCAAGTGTGAAACAGATCGCCAGTCCAGGTTGGATGCATGAGACAAGTGCTCGGGGCTGGTGCACTGGGATGACCCAGAGGGATGGGATGGGGAGGGAGGTGGGAGGGGGGTTCAGGATGGGGACACATGTAAATCCATGGCTGATTCATGTCAGTGTATGGCAAAAACCACTACAATATTGTAAAGTAATTAGCCTCCAGCTAAAAAAAAAAGGTATAAAGTAGTGAAGTTGCTCAGTCGTGTCCAACTCTTTGTGACCCCATGGACTATAGCCTACCCGACTCCTCCATCCATGGAATTCTCCAGGCAAGAGTACTGGATTGGGCTGTCATTTCCTTCTCCAGGGGATCTTCCCGACCCAGGGATCAAACCCGGGTCTCCCACATTGCAGGCAGAGGCTTTACCCTCTGAGCCCCCAGGGAAGCCAGTGTTAGTTATATTGTTATTTTGTGGGTAATCCATTGGTTGCACTTTTACTTCACATGATTTCTAGGGACTGTGAGCATAACTTTAAGCTGTTCTTTGAAGATGGTCCCTCATGCCTTGTACATCCTAGGTTACTTTGAGCCATTCCATAGCAGTAGTGCGTGGCTGGGGCGTGAACCCCCCACCCCTTTTTGTTAGCATGGCAGTTACCTTAGCCTAATTCCATAGTCAAGTAATTGAGAGACTTAATTCTGAGAGTAGGTTTGTTTTTTTTTTCCTCCAAAATCCTGGTGCCTGTGGTCTGTGACCAAAGGATAATGGCAGAGATTACCTGTGCATACTGCCTCTGAAGACATAATGTTCTATATATTTTACTGTGATCCAGCAGAATTCGTATTTGTCAAAGGATATATTCAGACCTGTATCACCTAAAACTTTTAGTCATGGCCACTAAGATCAATTATATTCAATATTATCTAGATAAACTTCAGATAATTTATATTGCCTTTATCCATCTTTTTTTAAATCACTTTATCTATCATTGTTTGGAGGGTAATAGGAGGCTTGAAACCTAAAATGAAGTCTGAGAGATCCTTGTCAGCATCCTGTTAGATTGAGAGAGTCCCAGCTGAAAGCTGTCTTTGCCCTTCTTCACCATCAGGCTTTGGAAATAAAAGAAATGAGGCAAGCATATATGTGTACCTAGATATATAGAATGGGCACATTCTGTACTTTTTGGAACTTGTATTAACAATAAATCATGTATATGTTTTAGAACAGTGGTTATAAGTGAAGAAGCTGATAAATGTGAGGGTTCCCGGGTGGGAAGCCAGGCATATTAGAGACAGTCATAGCAGGCTCCTGAAACTGGAGTAGGGCGAGAGAGAGGAAGTCTGGTGTGAATTGAAATAGGTGAGGCAGGCAGTGGGGAGATCATACAGGGTCTTACGGGTTATGTAAGGTCATGTTTAAGGTCATGTTAACAGCTCATGTTGAAAGATTTCAATTTTATCCAAGGATTTAGGCAAGATGATTGATCAGGAAGAGTGATGCTTAACTTACCACTCTAGGTGCAATATAGGGAACTGATTACAGGGGAGAAAGAATGGATCAGAGGCCAGTTAAGAAATTTTGGAAGAGTGTAAATTCAGATATAATACTGACTTGTAGTAATAGTGATTACAGAGTTTTAGGGCTTCCCTGGTGGTTCAGACGGTAAAGAGTCTGCCCACAATGCAGGAGACCTGGGTTCGAGCCCTGGGTTGGAAAGCTTCCCTGGAGAAGGAAATGGCTACCCAGAGTTAGTTTAGAGGTAGAATCTGCTGTAGTTGATGACTGGATGTAGAGCACAAATGAAAGACTGTAATGATGCCCGTGACGCACTCCTTTCCCGATTTGGAGCCAGTCTGTTGGTCCATGTCCAGTTCTTTTTTTTTTTC